GACCACCTCTGAGCAAATCTAGTTTTGAGGGATAATTTGCAAACCAGATCTGAATTAATGAACCTAAAGTAAAACGTAGCCGTATTTCATCATTTTCAGCTGGCATATATTAGCAGTCTTGTATATAGCAGTGAAGCAGTGGGTAACATAAAAATAACTAACACGTAACGAAGAACTATCAATTCTATATGTCTTTTAGTGAATAAATTACTGACCAAACACACGGAATTTAGAAATCAATAATTGGTTTGTCAAATTGAATTTGACAAATAAAACAGTCTGTAGGGTGAAATAGAAAGAGAGAGTTGACAGTTGGACAAATATTTTAGAATATTTTCGAGCAACCCATATGTTGCTCTTAGACCTTTGCACTCACTGTATGGAGTTTCAATATGATCACGTGATATCTGAATTTGCAGACGAGTCAACAAAGGAAGTTTTATATATCAGGAACCATTGATGTTGAGAACATGGAATTTTGCCTGGTTATAAATGTTGTTAATAGAGACAAATCGGCAACATAATTTTATCTTCACTTTGACCTCTTCCTTTTTGGATGTCTTGACGGTTTTGTGGGCTTCAAGCAAGGTATGACTAGAGAACTCACCCCCGAAAAACCTAACTTGCTATGGTAACCAGGGCATCAATACCACATGTTGCTGTGAGTTATTGCCGCATACTCGTTAGTAGAGTCTACGGGACTAAAAGAGAAGCGACACCGTGTGTGTGTGCGTGTGTTTATGCGGCTGCTTGGTTGATGGCACAAGCACATTTTAGTTGCTTACGCACGACACAGACATGCGCATATAGATTTGTTAGTAACATGAGTAAGACAAATAGAGAATCAGTCCTTCTTTATAGATTGTTTCATTGATTTGGCTTCAAACTCTATTGTTTATTTAATGTCGAAATCAGTAATCTTAAAAATGTTGGAAAATATTTTCCGTAATCTAATTTTAGCAATGTTAAATTTAAATTTACTACACTCATCGGACTTATTTTCTGTTTATGTCGTGTATGGACGACTATACTTTAAAACAGGAGCACGTTACGTATTATTTAATATACGTAGAAAAATTAGAAATGATTATAAAAATCTTGGTACAAAATACTTTGTATAAAGCTTTACAATTTTTGATTAGTAAATATAGTTTTCACTTAATAACAATAGCACCTAACCGGCTGAAAGAAATGCAGAATTTTAAAAGAATTATATATTATAAATTATTATAATTAAAATTTAAAAAAAAAATGAAAACATTCTTGTGAAAATTCAGTATTCATCAAAAAGAAAAATTCTTGAGACAATAGTGTCCTTGATAAATCTTATTTATAGATGCAATTAAAAGCTTTTCGAATTTAATAATGTCACAGTTTTACTCCATTTTTTTATTTTTTCGATTCGGAGCAGATTTTCGGGAAATGTGCAGTAGTTTGAAAAAGAAGACTGATGATTTACTTTCTCCAAGGAGTTCTGCTTTTGACTAATAAAATAATGTTTGAGATTGAAATATAATTTTTCGACATTTCATGAAATTAAGTAAGTGTGGGTTAACATATGTAAAAAAAAAAATACTTTTTACCATGATTTTCAAAAATAATTTCATTCACTTGCGAATAAGTCCTGAAAATTTCATTAAAATCCGACAATTATTTCATTTTTGCCAGAATTTCCAAATCAATGTTTTTTTCAGCTGAAAATGACGCTAAAACACTAATCGAAAATAATGTCGGCCAGTGACGTAGAAAAAACGAGATTTTTTAACAAAAATTTCGAACATGATAGAAAGGATAAAAAAAAATTAATAATAAAAATATCCTTTGTTTTTTTTCTCTTAATAACAACATAAACATTTTCACGATAAAACTTTATATTATATTTAAGTTAAATACTAGACAGAAACTCAATCCACATGACTTTTTTTTTGTTATTACATGCATGATACTTCCGGTCTTCCGTAGATTTGATTTGCAGTCTTATTATTGACACAAATTATATGTTTTTTATATACCGATGTTCGTTAGTTTGTAAAAAGCTTTGGAAATTATAATCTGTAAATATATATCTAATTATTAACAATATTCGTTTAATTGTACAAACTTTTCCTTAATTTTAGAAGAATTAGCAACATCTATTTTAAAAATAATAAAATATTTCAGAAATAACAAATAATTGTTTTGAAAATTTTTTTTCATTGAAAATATCTTTTTGCTTTCAGACAATATTGTCCATGTTCATTGATATAAATAAAAGCAATTAAAAGCTTTTGAAATTAAATAATATTTTTGTTTTATTGAGTTGTGTATGTTACAATTCAGAGATGATTTCCAGGAAGAGGTGGTTCAGCTAAAAAAAAAATAAAATAAAAAAATAAAAATAAAATAAATAAATAAATAAATAAAATACATGATTTGGTTTCCTCAAAGCCTTTTTGCTTTTAAAAAATATAATCACTAATCTGCCCAAAACTGAAATTATAGAATTTTCGTACGATTAGTTATTGGGTGGTGGTGGGGGTGGGTTTAATACATATGAAAAAAAATTGCCATGAATTTAAAAAAGGAAAATCATTTCTGAAAGTTTCATTAAGGACCTTCAATCGGTTGTGAACTGGGGCAGTAATTGGCTGGTTAACTTTAACGCCTCAAAACAAAACTGCTCTCTATTAATCACCACAGAGATCCTTCCCTGCCCTCCATTAGAATGTCTGACGCTCAACTTCCCGAGAGCACCTCTCTGCGGCTGCTCGGTCTCACGTTGACTGCTGACCTGAGAGGGAACAAATACATTGAGTCAATTGCTTTGTCCACCGCAAGGAAAGTTGGCTCCCTGTGCTGCGCCAGGAAAATTTTCTCCCCGGAATCGATCCTTCAGATTTACAAATCAATAATTCGCACTTGCATGGAGTATTGCTGCCATATATGGTCTGGAGCCCCTTCTGTTTGCCTCGGGGTTCTTGATAGGCTCCAGAGACGGATATGCAATATAATTGGCCCTGATCTGGCATCTCGCCTGCAGTCGCTCTCTCACAGACGTGTTGTTGCCTCCCTGTGTCTTTTTAACAAATACTTTCATGGTAACTGCTCCGATGAGTTGCTTTCGCTGGTTCCCAGACTTCGCGAATTCAAGCGTCCTACGAGGCTAGCATCCCGCTCCCACCCTTTCACTGTTAAAACTGTTAAATATAGCCATCTCTTCTACTCCAATAGCTTCATGTCTCACACTTCTTACCTGTGGAACTCCCTCCCCTTTTCCTGTTTCCCTGATAGCTATAATCTCCAACTATTCAAATGTAATGTCATTCGACATCTCCAGTTGCCTTGATCTATCCTTCTCCTCATCATTTCCTCTATCACTCCTATCCGCTCTCGCTCTAAATGCTCTGTAACCCCTTGCGTGCTAGTGGCTTCTCGCCTTGCTGGGGGGGTGAAATGCTAAAAAAAAAAAAAATCCGACAATTATTTTTATTTCTGCAAGATTTTCCAAATTAATGGCTGTCATACAAAAAAAAACAAAAAAAAAACAAAAAAAAACAAATAATAAAAAAAAAACGTGCTAAAAATTGTCCATGTTATTTTACTAGTTCTGGTGATACAAAGAAAAACAAAGTTTTTTTTTTAATCAAAATTTAGAATGTTCTAAAAAGAAGGAAAATTTTTTTAAAATAATTAAAAATTATTTTGATTTTTCCTCTTAATAATAGCATAAAGATTTAGACGCTAAAATTTTGTTTTCGTCAAATTTGGCATCTTTTTCATCATGCTATACTCTGTTTTTAGCGATCTCATGAAGGATCCTAAAATAGAGATACTGACTTTCATTGTTTCAACTAAATATATTTTGGACGCAATTGCATACCTTCAACTACCGATAATGTGCATTGTTGATAATTTTTATTTATAAAAAAGTATTGCTGATATTTTTACTATAAAATGTATCTTTCTACATTCATAGCGTTTTGTTTTTGTTTGGGAGTTCCCTATTTGCCCATGGCTATGAACATAACAGGTGTTAGGTCCCTGGGTGAGGTTGAGCTTGGGGATAATAACAATCAAAAGGTAGTTCTACGCTCCTCAAAAGATCCAATCTCCAGATCGCAGGCCCATGCCGACGGGTGTAGGTTATCGTCATATCCAGGACTATTTATATAATGTAGATGAAGCCAAGTACAATTGAACTGAAAGCCCGACTGACAGTGGGTGACGGAGAGAAAACCAGTCCTTTTATAATATAGATGAAGCCAAGAAGAAATGATTGGGAAAACTAGCTTCTTCGCAACATATTTTAGGCAATCGATTCGCTTAAAGTGGTTAATCTCGCTCATAACCCAAATACATTCACGCACTGCGTTTGAGTTAAAATCGTTATATTGTCTAATAGTTTCCATTGCTATCCTATTTTAACTGTTCTTGTCCCACCGCTTGTTAGTTGGCACGACCGTTACGTCCTGTCAATATCGCATAAATAATGGACTATTCACTTTTCATCGTGTGGAGAGAGTGGAAATGAGAGTACTTGGTTTCGATAAGGAAATGAAAGAAAAAAGAAAGAAGGAAAGAGAGAAGCGTTGAACGTCTCCTGTCAGTACCTCATAAATAATGGACTATTCCGTTTTGATCGCGTAAAAACGTGGGAAATGATAGTACTCGGGTTCAGTGAGAAAAAAGAATAAAAGAAAGAAAGAAAGAAAGAAAGAAGAGAAGCGAAGATAGAAGAATTCAACACTTGTTTCTGTGAAATGGGAAAAAGTTGACAATTCCAAATCTTTTTTAATTGTACCCCCTTACTTCTTAAAATAACGCCCAGCATTAATATTTATGATTCTTATTGCAATGTTTCGGTTTGCGTAATTTTGTACGAAACGTAGAGTTTGTAAATCTTGACAAAAATGTTTACGATAACTTCAACAACACTGCGAGGATTTTAACACGCGTGAGCGTGTTGTAAAAAATCTACTATTATTAAATATCGTTAATGCTCGTCACCTGTCTATATAGGGTTACATTCGCAAATTAAAGAAGTCGAGAGGTCGAGCGGCCGAGAGAGAGAGAGAGAGAGAGGGGAGGGTCGAGCGGCCGAGAGAGAGTGAGAGAGAGAGCGGTCGAGAGAGAGAGAGGAGGGTCGAGCGGCCGAGAGAGAGTGAGAGTTCGAGCGGTCGAGAGAGAGTGCGGGGTCGAGCGGTCGAGAGAGAGACAGAGAGAGGTCGAGCGGTCTTGAGACAAAGAGTGGTCGAGAGAGAGAGAGAGGGGGGTCGAGCGGTTGAGAGAGAGCGGTTGAGAGAGAGAGGGTGGTCGAGCGGTCGAGAGAGAGAGAGGTCGAGCGGTCGAGAAAGGGAGGGTGATCGAGCGGTCGAGAGAGAGTGAGGGGTCGAGAGAGAGGGTGGTCGAGCGGTCGAGAGAGAGAGAGAGGGGGTCGAGCGGTCGAGAGAGAGAGAGAGAGAGCGGTTGAGAGAGAGAGAGGGTGGTCGAGCGGTCGAGAGAGAGAGGTTGAGTGGTCGAGAGAGTGAGAGGGTCGAGCGGTCGAGAGAGAGGTTGAGAGAGAGAGAGGGTCGGGCGGTTGAGAGAGAGAGGGGGGTGTTGAGTGGTCTAGAGAGAGAGAGAGAGAGAAAGAGAGAGAGAGAGAGAAAGAGAGAGAAAGCGAAAGAGAGTGAAATAAGAAAGTATATTATCCATCTCTTTCACCTAATTCTATACTCTTCCAATTCATACTATAACATTATTGCATACTGCTTGCGTTGACATCTGTCCGTCTCATGAGATGATAGTGTAGCGCCGAGCGCTACATGCCTTAGAAGGAGTTATGGAAATTTTAGAATTAAAAGATTTTCTTCTTTTAGACTGGTTACTAGAGAGCCCTGTCTACTCTGCTGTTTAATCCATAGCCGTGTTCAGAATTGGTGGTTTCATGCCTTTCGCAATGGCATCTGAACGAAAATAACGCAACAGACTAATCCTGAATATGAACTTTCTTTAAAAGTGAATTATATAAATGAAGGGGAAATATGAGATGTACGCAAGTGAATAAAACAATCAGTTTTCTTTAGTGTATCAAGTCTCGTTAGTTTTCAAGAAAGATCGCTGTAAACTTTTACAAAATGCTTAATGCTTTGATGTTTGAATAACAATGCTATGAATTTCTACGTATAAAACATTTTGTAAACATGAAGCTAACATTACTCTTTTTTTGATACTGTATTAGTGTCAACACATTAACTTTCTGAAATAAATACACACGGCATGCAATGGTGTAATATAATATTGTTGTCAGATCTGGCAGTCATTTGTCTTGCTTCAAAATATGTTCCTTCTGGAATCGCGTGTTTAAATACAGTATACTTGATCGTAGCTCAAATGAGATCACCCGGTATTTTTAGATATTTTAGTCCGTTAGTATGGAGATTAAGATGACGCCGGGCGCTTGAAAAAAGTCAGTAACGTTGGATCAGTCTGTCTTTGACAGTGCGCAGGAGGAAGTATTGAACTATATTCGGAATAATACATACCCTTTATTTTTAAAGTCCGATCTGTACGTACAATACGTACAGCAAGGGGGAAAGAGTCCAAAGGGAAGTAGTAATTCGTCCAGTGGTTCAAACAGTGTGCGCCCCGTGTCCGTGCCACTTCCCACCCTACCTGAAGATCAGGAACTGAATACCAACACAGTTTCGCAATCCCATTCTGTGATTCCAGGACCCTTAGTGAAACCGCCCAGTAGTTGTAGATATTCTCGTCCAGAGACTTCATCGCGAACAGAAACCATAACTGGGTAAGTTATTGAAAATCACATGCCGGGGGATAGTTTTACGTATTTATTTATTTATTTTCTTCTTAAGTTGGTTCCCTTGTTTTTACATTGGCTTATGAAGGGTTTGCTTTCATCTTTGTTGTCTGTGATTATCCACATGCAATGATACATAGCATTCATATCGTTACAATTCATGAATATTTGAAAGAATGAGCTGGTCCTGTCATTTTGAATCTGAATATCTCATTTTCCACCTGACCCTTTTTTTTTAATTTTACAAACCTTTGAAAAAAATTTTAAAAAAGAAAAAATGATTATAAATTTATTTCCGAAGCTCCTGCACTTATAGAAGTGACTGTTGCATCTAGCTAGTTCAACAGTAAGACGGTGAGACCTAGTTGCCAATCAAGCAGCACGCTTCAATTCATACACTTGAAGCACCAAGGAGGATAGCTCACTAGAACAATTCCCACGAGAAAATATTTGTAGAAAAAAAAAAAAAAAAAAAACAGGTGGAAGCCACATCATATCGGTGAGAAATTGATTGAAGTCGAGATGACACGTTAGGATCGATTATATGACAGAACCTTCTTTGAATTCTGTCAAGTATCTCGAGATATACAGTCGTATCACCGGGCCAGATATGACAGCAATATTCAAGGTACAGACCAGGGGTTGCCAAACCGCGGCTCGCGAGACATATTCGGTTCTTTGATCTTTAATATGGGACTCGTGTTGGCTGATAATAAAAGGTAAATAAGAAAGATTTCAAGGTTTCTGATTATTCTCGGGCTATGAATTGAGACCCCACTGAATTAAAACTTAAGTTTAATGTTAATGTGTATGTAACAAAAATGTATGTTTAAATTAGTTTCGTATCTTGCGGCTGTCAAAACTCTGAACTTTATTGCATGTGGCTGTTACATGAAGCCATTTTGACCAGCCCTGATATAGACGAATGATAGATAATTTCTGACGAGAAACAATTGTCTGACAATGAACCAACTTTCCTAGCGGTAGAACTTTTGAATTCAGAACAGTCGTGCAACTGAAAACTAGAGAACTCAGTCTACATATCTGGAGGCAAAAAAGCGGACTCGTGTCAACCCTAATAGATATTTATGTGAAAGAAAACATAATACATTTGCCGATTTCACATTTCACGTCAATATATGAATGGCGTTATTCACATAAGGTATTATGGAAGTGATTAAACGACACAAATGGAAGTGTTTGGCATACATAGCATAAAGAAAGGATAACAGATGGAGCAAAAGGTTGATTCGTTGGTGCCCAGTAGGGAGCAAATGAAGTTCGAAGAGTGAAGGTGGAAGATAGTTGAAAAAGAGGAGTCTGACCATAAAACATGACATAAAAATAGTAGATTGACAATCGTTATGTAAATATATATGAACTATCTGATGGACTAGGAATGGTTGATGATAAGGAGGAATGAAGACGATGATATAAAGTGATAGAATAATGATGGGAAAGTGAATGAAGCCGAGATGCCAGGTTAGGACCGATAACATTACAGAACTGTCTTTGGATTTGGCCAAGAATTTCAACATAAAAAAGCAGTATAACCAGACCAGATGTTGAAGCAATATTCAATACCCGGACGAATGGTAGTTTAATAAACATGTAAGAAAAATTGTCTGGCACGACACGGTGAACCAACTGAGGTACAGTTCCTTTCAACGTCTAAACCTGTATACTTTTCATTGTTGAATGGGACCCATTTAAAGACGTGTTTCCAACGTGCGCGCGTGTGTGTGTGTGTGTATGTCTGACTGTCTAATAATCTGCTATATTATGTCGAAATTAACGATAAAGTCCAAAGAAGGGTCTATAATTTCATCGGTCCTGACCTGGCATCTCGGCTTTAATCATTTTCCTAACGTCGTAGTGTAGCTTCCTGTGTTTATTCTATAAATAATTTCATGGCAGTTGTTCTGACAAGCTTTCCTCGACATCAGAAATTTAAGCGTATTTCTAGATTGTTAACAGGTCTCACCATTTCACTGTTGAAATATCAAGACGGAACCATAAGTTCTATTCTAATAGTTTCTTTTCTCACACTTCTCGCTTGTGGAACTCTCTTCCCACTTTTTGGTTTCCTGCCACCTACGATCTTCAATGATTTAAAGTCAACATCAATCGCCATCTTCTGTCTTCCTGAAGCTTTTTCTTTTATTGCCCGTCCTCCTCACTAAAGTTTTCTCATTTTCTTTCTTATATATATATATATATATATATATATATATATATATATATATATATATATATATGCGTGTGTGTGTGTGTGCGTAACATTTAATGTAAATACTATTTTATATGGCACGTGGGTGAGTGAAAAAAGTAAAGAAATTTGTTTAATATATACGAAATAAGGAACAAAGACATAAGCTGGCATCAACATATAACTGATATACATCACAGGTTCGCATCCCTATATCTCAACATAGTCAACACCTCTTTCAATGGCTGGGTTCCATTCGACGATTGGCGGTGGGGGCATGTAGCTGGATACCATCAGTTCCTTACAGCAGTTTTCATTTCTTCATCACCACGCAACTTACCACCATCATCTTTTTGTCTCAATGAAAGATGCGCTGAGGGACAACCTTTATGGTGAAGAAGATATGTGTATATCAACCTCGTTTATATATATATATATATATATATATTGGGACAGAGAGACGAAAGTGGGGAAGGAGAGAGAGGGGGGAATTCATTGATTTTATAACTGTTTATTAACCATGTGCGTATTATTTATACCTGAAACAAGCTCGTATTTTGGATTATAAAATAATCTTTTTTTTTTTAGCGTGGCTTATTACATTATCAATTTTTTGAGAATAACAATGATTTCTCAAAATGTAAGTAGTACTATTTATCCCATAGCTGGTGGGAGGAAATGCATTTATAGCTTCCCCCAGGCTATTTGCAGCATGGGAGTAAATGTAACGAACCTGACTGGATTTCGAAATCGGATCTACTATTTCTCATTTAAGTCTTATTTCTTTTTCACCTGCTCATTTCTTTCTTTCTTTCTTTCTTTCTTTCTTTCTTTCCATGTTTATTACTTCCTTTCTTTCTTCTTTCTTTCATCTTTCTTTATTTCTTCTTTACATGTTTATTCCTTTCTTTCTTTCATTCATTCTATTCTTTCTTTCTTTACCTGTTCATTCCTTTATTTATTTCATTCTTTCTTTCTTTTGTTCATTCTGTTCATTTCTTTCTTTCTTTCTTTCTTCCTTACCTGTTTATTCCTTTTGTTTGTTTGTTTGTTTCTTTCTTTCTTTACCTGTTCATTTCTTTCTTTCTTTCTTTCTATATTTATTTATTAATGTGAGGCATAAATAATTTCCATTTCATTAGTTATTAGGACGATACATTACAATTGGTTCCCAAAACGAAAGTTACTTATGACTTAACCCAATGTAAATCTCTCTCTCGGTATATATATATATATATATATATATATATATATATATATTATCATTCCCTTTTAAGCTTTTTCACTTTTCTTTCTTTTTTTCTTTCTTTCTTTCTTTCTCATCTAAATTCGTTTTTCATTGCCAACCTTACATGACTTCCTCTCTTTCTCTTCAATTTGCCTTTGTTATTATCTTAACATCGACAAATAAAAAAAAAAACTCCGTAGATTCGAATTTGCTTTCATTCCCTTTCATTACATCTACATTTGATGCTGGACTATTTGAAAAAACATTTCCTTTTGTCGAAACCGCTTGAAAAGAGCCAATTGGATTCTGACGCCGATTTCGAATAGCGCTGATTGCTGATTGGTCCGTAAATTGACACTTTTATTTCGTCACATGATCGCCCCGCAGCGACCGATCAAAATCGAAGAGCGGCAGTCGAAAAAGACATCAAAGGAAGAGTAAATATCTTCTTAATTTCCCCGCGATTAGAATGGCAGTTCGTTAGTCTGCAATATAACCTATAGGATAAGGAAATAAGTTCGTCTGCTTCAAGTAGTTCCTCATTTTACTCTGTACCGTTGATTTTATCTATTTTATTTTATTTTTTCTTTTAATATATATTGTTATTTTCTTTGCAATTTGGTTCTCGTCTGTTCTTCTCAATTTCGTAACTTGCAACGTTTTTCTTTTTCTATTCAAATCCGCATCTTTATTTATTTATTTCTTATAATGTATCATTTCCGCATTTCGTCTCTTGATTTCATTTGTATTTCTTTTTATTCGTCCGATGAAATTCGTTATGTTGTACGAATATTTGTAAAAATTGCGCGGATGAAGAAATACAAGAATATTTCATTCTTTTTGATATTGTGTTTTATTCTTTATTTCTTCTTCGTTTTTTTTCTTTCTTTCTTTCTTTCTTTCTTTCTTTCTTTCACCTTTCTTTCTTTCTTTTCCGTTATTATCCTCATTTTCATAGACTCCTTTCTTTTCAAAAAAAAAAAAGAATTTTTTTTTAATCAATGACATTACGTCCTCTTTTTGTTTTTTGTCTTTTCTCCAAAATCTCTTCCCTTCATTCGTTTCTTTCCCTCTTTTGACATCCTACACTGCCTCGTACTTAGTTTTGTTCATCTACAAGAAGTCAAACACTTCTTTCCTATTTTTGTTTTATTTGTTTATTTTGGAGTTTTTCACTATTACTTATTTCCCGTTACGTCATTTATTTCTCTTTCTTTTCCTTTTTCCTTTTCCTTCCACCTCACTTCTTAAAGATCAGCTAGTTTTCGTATTGTTGCCAAAACGTATTTAATCTATTTTTATCTATTTGCTGAACACATTCTCTATCTGAATGCAAACTGTTTGTTTTTCTTTTGACACCGCTATTATTTTAACTACCTTCACTCCTTGGCAATATTTATTGTTTTAAAAAGTGATGATTAGAATTGGAATACAACATAAATATATAAAAGTGTATTTATACATTTTTTTTTTTGTTTTTGAGTATTTACAACAAAAATATTAAACACAATTTATTTATTAGATTGTTTATCGTAATAAGAAATT